TTCATGTCACTTTTAGTGATCCAGTTGAAGAGCTATGAAGGGAGTATTTCTTCCCTGGCAGAGTATTGTATAAATTCGTACACTAGACTGTTCACAGCCTCTCTGTTTACGCACGCGAAAGAAAAAGCGAGCGAAGCAAAGCGCGAAGGACGCGTAGGTAGGGGGTGGGGTTTGCGAGCGAAGCGAGCAACAAGATTCGTACACATGAGATTAAAGTTTTGTTTTATTTTCAAGTTATAATATATACTTATCTCTGTAATTTATTTATTGCTTCATTTTGTTTTGTTTCTCATTATATAATAAGTACATTTCAAACATAAACATTGGCGCTCGTAGTGGAAGTTATTTTTGCCAGTTAGCCTCCATTAATAAGACCAATACATTCACTTATTGCATGCAGGAGTGAATACAGTTTCCCTGTCGCGGCGTTGACGAGCCACTGTCTGTTATAATCAAACCATCGCAGAAAATACGCCATGGAGTATCTCTTCTCTATGCATTTGAACTTTTCACCGATGTCGACCTATTGTAAAACGACAATAAAAGTAAAATATAACTTTGATAGAAGGTATCGAAAAGAAGAGGGACGATCGTGGTGGTTTATCGTAAATTCACGAAATTGTTATTCCAGAAATTTAAACTCCATTCCCGGAATTTCTAGAATTTTTGGGAAATCAGAGAGTTTTCTGGAAACTTTTCCGGGAAAGTTCCGTACCGTCTGTTGCCATTCCAAAATTTCAGGAATGAAAACGTACCTGGTCAGGGCATGAGTTAAAGTTGCTAAGCAACTGATGGCGCCATGATGACGTAACGAGGTTAAAATAATGTTGATTGTACGTGAAATCCTATATTTCCCGAAATTTTGAAAAGTATATCTCGCGAAATATGGCTCTGTAAAAAAATTAGTAAAAAAAAGTCAATCTGTGGAGATAAACCAACGGAGACATGAGATGATCTAATTACTTATGTCTTGTTTTGCACAGACACATCATTAAAATAATATATATGCAAATGTTGCTATGTGTTTCGCTCTACTCATGTCGCTCATTGTTACCATCTTTGATTGTTTTTGCAGCCGTTTTGTAATATTTATGTTTCACAGAAACGATGGTAAAATATTGATTTTAAACAACTCTCCGCTGAGTTGTTCAGTTGTTCTGAATATACCGTGAAGTTAATTATAAATGTAACTCGGATAAAAAAAAGTTGATGGCTCAGTAAACGAGGAAGAGGCGGCAATTGAAGACATTGAACTGCTTCAGCAATAGATCAAATGCACTGATGCATGAATGCGCATGGAATAACTGATTTTATAACCTTTTGTCCTTTTTTGTATGTTTTTTAAATTTACAAGAAATGTATTTCAGTCAGAATTCTCCACGATAGGCAAACCCATAGAATTGTCAGAAAATATGTTAAATTAAAATTTTTTTCTCAAAAATGAATCACTATTCAAACTCTTTAGTGTAAGTACTGAATAAGCCTTTATCTATGCATAATGTTTGCAATTTCAGAAAATGATTGATTTTTCTTTCAAATATTCGTTTGGTTTGCATGGGAATCGAAAACATCTCACCTTTTTAAGGAAGGCAAGCAAGGAGTACAGTGTAGTTAATTGTTTATACTCACAAACAACTAACTAAAGACAAAAGAGAGTAGAGAGTGAGTTTCTTACCCAGCCGCCTTGACTCCTTATCCATACCGCCAAATGATCCAACACATAAAGCCTCACGCAGCTTAACACAGTTTTAACAAGCTCTGGTCGTCCCTGAGTAATACAGTCACTGCTTATAGCGGCAGCAAAAGCGAACAAGGCTACGATCCGTCCCCAAGTTACACCCTCACGAAACAGCTCGCGTCCAAAGTTCCTGAAAATGTCGCCGACAATCACCTCGCTTCGCAGCTTCACCTTGAGCTGTTTGGAAACATTGTTGTAAAGATGAGGATACGAAGTCTCCAGAAGCTCGCCAACCTCGATTATTTTGGCAGAAATGGAAACAGTGTTTTCAGACACGTCTTTAGGGCGGATAAATTCGAGATCCGACTCGATATTGCAGCGTTTCAACCTCTCCTCGATGTAGTCAAGGCAGTATAAATTTGCATCATTCGCTATACAGACATACTCCTCGTTGAGTTTGGCTTCTATGAATGGTTTAAGTTTTTTAGTGACAGATTTGAGCATGGTTTACCAAGAATTATTTCCACGCACATTTAATTCTGCATTTTGAGAAAAACATTAAGCCAAGAATAAACGAATTAGAATAAACGCCGAGATGACAGGTGGATTTTATGGGAACTAAGTGCAGGTGGCATTTTTAATAGGTTCCTACGGCTATACAACATTTGAATAGGATCGTTCGTAAAAGCAAACAGAATTATTGACAGTGTACTGACAAACACGTCATGACAAGAAGGAAATTGTGAACCACTTGACCAGCGTTGTGTGACTCTTCTCTCTAACGAAGCAACAAAAAACAATTTTTTCAAGTGGCACGAGATGGCAAGGCCACCACAGGAAACTCAAACTGAAGAATTGAACAGTCAACGGTGTGACAATAAAAGGGTTTAGGAACACTAGGACCACTAAATAAATGTCATGTCTGATGATATAGATCTAGGGATTTGTATGGAGAGAAGACGCTTTGCCCTTCAGTCAGCTTAAGTGGTTTTCCATACAAATCCTTGTAATTTTGCAATTTTTCAAAAATCTTTGCTTTTCGGTTTAAGACCCTAGAATTTTCTGTTTTTCCCATTATTTTGCCCCTCTAGATCTTCCATCTGCAATAGTTGTATGCCTGCAGCTTCCTTTTTAAGTGATTAATAAAGGAAAAGGTTTCTGGAGGGGAAAGCTTCCTCGCTTCCATACGAAACTTTCAAAACTTTTGCAATATTCAAATCGTCATTAAATCTTAACCTTACACGGCATTGGTCTGAAAATTGGTGTTCTGGCTATTTAAAACATGCTCTTTCCAGTTCTGAAAGTCATTTGGTTGTAACTAAAAGTTTAGAAATTATCGGTCACGTGACCAACTGTTGCGAAAGGAGAGAACTTTACTTCCATGATTTTAATATTCTCGAAAAAATACCTTGTTCGTTTATATCCGAGGTTTTTAATTCATTCGCTTCTTTTAAAATGGCAGTTTTGCACATATCGTTTAGGTCTATTTTGCACCTGATTGTTGTGGGTTCTCCATGTGCAGTGAAGTTTGATGTTATTTCTTATGATCAAGAGACAATGATCATGTTTGTTATGATATAATAGCAACGTAGCCAGACTTAGAGATTTGTTTTCGCATAAATTTTCTGAAGAAAATGTTTACCAGTGCCAATAACTACAGGTAAACAGGTAAATCTTGAAACCGAAAGTGCTGATGTAAGCAGTATTCGGTCAGGGTTGTCTTCGATGACAACCTGATGGTGAAATCTGTAGGTCCCAGTCTCCTAGTACCTTTCAAGTCGGCGCTTTGTTCTTCGCGGCCTGTACAATCTTTTCTGATATTTTCCACTGAATTATGTGATAGACTTGAACTTTTTTTGCTTTTTTCTTTTCATTGAAGTGATCGAAACGGTAAAAAATTTCCCAACTTAACGAATCAAAACGAAAAGTTTTCAATAACAGAAGAACTTACAGTGGAACGACCATACTCGCCCTGTCTGGGTGATGGAAGCCTGGGTTGGGGTTCTTTCAAGGCTTTAGTTCCGGGAAGCGTTGCCTCGTCAGCTAAGAAAACTCGCTGATTGGAAGCTTTTCAGAGTTATAACAAGGTAAATTTCGTTTTATAAGCACTATTTGACCGAAAGTGAAAGGTAAAGTAGCCCTTTAACTCGGTCCGTGTGAATTACAGAACTTTCAGCGAGTAAAAAACTTGAGATTTGACGAATTGCAGAGAAGAAAGCATGGCTCAACAACAACCTCCTGACGTGGAGATGGCGGCTGCTGACCCCTCAAATACACCGCAAACCCAGCCGATAGCAGCAAACCAGGTCCAAAATGAAGCAGGCGGTTTTGTTTGGAAAGTGGATGATATGGAGAGGTTTCGACGTTTTCTTGTGCTCGGAAGCGAAGGAGGTACGTACTATGCGACGGAACAGAAACTCGGGCAAGAAAACGCTCAAGCATTGTTGCGGCTAATCGGTGAAGGTCGGGGCCCCGAAGCTGTAAAAATAATTGTCCAGTACAGCACGGAGGGTCGTACAGCCAAGCAAGACCCGATCATCCTGTCTTTAGCTTTGTGTGCCCGCTCAACCCATTTGGAGACCAAGCGAGCCGCTTACGCCGCTCTCAGCCAAGTGTTACGAATTCCCACGCACCTCTTTAATTTTGTCGAGATTTGTGAAACACTGAGCAAGCCACAAACAGGATGGGGCCGAGCGCACAGAAAAGCAATTCAGAAGTGGTATACTGGAAAGAAACCACGAGGTCTTGCCGTGGCTGTAACCAAGTACAAACAGCGTAATGGATGGTCTCACCGTGACCTGTTTCGACTATGCCACGTAAAGCCAACAGACCCGGCCATTCAGTTCGTTGTGAGGTATGTGATTAAAGGTTTTGAGGCCGTACAGGCTGACGCGGCGGCAGCTGGTGTTGGCCAGGATATCACATCGGTGTTCACCTTCTTGAGAGGGGTTGAAGAAGCGAAAACAATGAACGAAGACGATTTGGTGAACGCCATCAGGGAACACGGTTTAGTGAGAGAACATCTTCCCACAAACCATCTCAACTCTAGTAAGGTGAGGAACGCTGTATGGACAAATACTTAAAAGCGTTATACGGATAGGTCAAATTCACTGGCACCATTATACGAGGAAGGGGGTGGGGGATATGGGAACCTCCGGGGGAACATGGCTGTGGTATCAGAGGGTTTCTGTAGGATTCCTGAAGTGGTCGGTTCAGAGCACTTCCTTAGTCTGTCTGCCTTTTTCCTGCGAAAATATTACAGAGAATACAAGTATAATCCTTGCGTGCATCCAACCAATCCCCTGCTCTCCCCCAGTCGAAATGACTGCATGTTCCAAACTCTCTGAACTGTCCCCCATCCCCTCTACTTTGTGGAACTGATTTTACAGTGGAACTATATTCAAACATTACCATGCCACCTTGTCATATCAACAGGGTGATTCTAAAAAAAGGTGTTCTTAAATAATTTCACTGGATTAAAAGAAAGAGGTCATCTTCACAATGAACGAAGTGATTGTAGTAACAAGGTGATACTCTATCTCAATTTGAAATGATCTTTATGTTTGTATTTGCGACAGATCTGGGAAGCTCTCCTTGAAAAAATGCCCATGACTGCCATGATTAGAAATCTTGGTAAAATGACAAATGTTGGGGTCTTGGCACCCTTGTCAGATGGAATGACCAAGGTCTGTGAGATGCTAAGGAATGAGAAGAGTCTTAAGGATGCACGTGTTCACCCATTCTCCATCCTGTTGGCTCTGAAGCAGTACCAAGCAGGTCAAGGTGATAAAGGAAAGCTTACTTGGACTCCTAACCAAGCCATTGTGACAGCATTAGATGAAGCATTCTACCTCGCTTTCAAGGTTTGTGCTTGTGTAATTTAGACAGATCCAGCTAACGTGTATACATCCTTGTTTCAACCCAATTCAGTGATAATTCGTTTTTGCAATTTGCCACATGCAACTGATTCAAGTTCAATTCAATTTATTTACCCTAATTTTAGTTACATAAAGTTCATTTTGTTAACAAAAATACAAAGTGAGAAAAAATAAATAAATGCAAAATTACATTTTAAATAAAATTTTAAAAAAGGGAGTGAATAAGATAAAAGCAACTGATTGCATGGGAGTATGACTGTACACACAGAACAACTGAAACCTCCCAAATGAATCATCTTATGATCTGAATTAAAATCGTGCAGCTCCAGGGCTTGACTTTCAGGAAAAAACCTCGAGGTCAAATGGCCCCTAAGTTTTCAGATTTAGTCGCCAGCAAGAGCAGTGAAAAGCATGAAAAGTTAGTCGCCAGTCAAAAAAATGTTGTTACATTGGCAACCCAAGCATTCAGTGCAAAATCATGCTTCCAGTGCAGCAGCTGTATATCTTAGCAGTGGTCAGTGATGTATTTATTTTTTTGTACCTGTATAAATTAAATGTAGTTGTTAGTTATTATAATATATTCTCACGTTTGTTGTAAATATTATTTATATTTTTTCTGTCAAGCACTTTTATTATGAACCCCTGGTTCATGAGAATGGGCAACCACTCCCTGTGCCATGACTTTAAATAAATTATTACTATTATTCTTGTATTTTATTTTGCTAAGTGTACTAAGTACATACATGCACCTTTTTTAACTTTCAGACTGTTCAGCCCACTAATAAGAGATATCTTTTGGCCATTGATGTCAGTGGATCAATGTCGTGGGGTAACTGTAATGGTACAACCATAACTCCCAGGGTGGCATCTGCTGCCATGGCGATGCTTACTGCACGTACTGAACCACAGTATCACTTTGTTGGCTTTTCTCATCGTCTAGTACCTCTGAGTATTAACTCCACCATGAGAATGGATACAGTCTTAAGAACCATCGAGCAGGTTAGTACTGTAGTTATCATTCTGTGTTTCTAATCTACCCTCAGATTTTATTAAGATTTTGTGACATTATGTCAGTGACAGTTATAGTGTACACTGTATTTGTTTGTGGTTCCCACACTTTCGTCAGGTCCCAGTGTTATTTTGGATACTGTGCCAATTATTGATGGTTAACTCGCGTTGTAGGTACCAATGGGGGGAACTGACTGTGCTCAGCCCATGATCTACGCTAAACAAAACAACCTCAAAGTGGATGTGTTCATTGTTTACACGGACTGTGAAACGTGGGCTGGACCTGTGCACCCAAGTGAGGCCCTCAAGCAGTACAGAGTACACTCTGGTATTGACGCCAAGCTAATTGTGTGTGCAATGACCTCCAATGGCTTTACTCTGGCGGATCCTGAGGACAGAGGAATGCTTGACATGGCTGGGTTTGACTCAGCTGCCCCAGACATCATCAGGCAGTTTGTAGAAGGCTTCTGAACATACCCTAGCACCTGTAGTAGGAATGCAAACCAGTCTACCAGTGTTACCTTCAACAGGCAGTAGTGTGCTTATATCTGTGGCACTATTCTTGTTGTAAATATTTTACGAGCATTTTGTAGACTGCACTGTCAGTGGTAAATTAGTTTTTGTTTTGTTCACATGTGGCACAAAGCTAATATTACATCTACATCCTTCCATACGTGGAGGCATTGTGTGTTTCTGATATTTGGAGTAAGTGTTGTTCCTTGCATTGTACTGGGTCAGCACTAACTTAGAGATTGAAAGGAGACTTAAAGAAACTGGTATTACATGAGCTCTACGTGCCATAGTAAGCTCTTATTGGGTGAATTCCATTGATCATAGTAAGTATAACCAATAACATTTTTATCTTGTAGTAAAGTTGTACTTTCCTAACTCCCACCTGTAGTGTGTGTAAGGTGAAATAAAAATAATTTTTTCAGCCCCAGCCTTTGTCATTTTGCTGTCTAATTTCTCAGTTTGTTCTTTTAACTGGGTAGCCTGAGCAGTGTGAAAAGAATGTCATGTTCAGTAGCCTTGGGCTAGTGGATTCTATCCCTCTCTTACCCACTGGGCAAGTGAAGTTTTTAGGGAATATTTTTGAGGAAATTCAAACTACAGAAGTGCTGTGATAGATGATACTGTTGTCAGTGTTAGTTAATTTTGAATTAATTAATCATGCCAGTAAGAATTTTTTTTTGGNTTAATACTGTTAAATATAATTATTCACATTATTCTTGTAGTTAAGCAGTATTTTTTGGGGGGGGGGGGGGCAAGGGGGGGGCTAGTGAGAATTACAATCAGGCTAGTAGATTGTAGTTACAGCTTGCCCAAATGGGAAGCACAAAAACTGGAGTTTTCTTGGTACCTTTCTGAGACTTGCATGGTACATAAATTGTGCAGTGTTATTTGTTGTTGTTGTTTTTATGTTGGTCATTCACCCCATGAGGCGGGAAACAACCTCCAAGGCTCTGGAGGGAGAGTATTGAGTGAAATGCACAGGGATGACAAGGAGAGGGTTGTAAGCTTCTGACTGTCACTTCCAAGGGAAAAATGTGAAACTTGAAGGCTCCAGTTTGAGATTCTATCATTTTGGTGATTTTCAATTGCATAACTTGCATAGAGGAATTATCCTGGTCCTTCTTTCTGCAAAAGAGCCAGGGCCATAGCCAGGAAAAAATTATGACTGAGGCAAGGTTGGTTGTTTGGTTATTTATTTGCTAGCTGTGTTTTTCTTTTCCACCTTCAAAGAAAAAACTGCAAAAAACAAATGACTCGTGCAATGCAATGCCTTGGTTTGCCTGTTACTAGCTACAGCCAAGTCTCCTCTGCAGCCATTTTTTGGGGCATGCATATTTGGGCATCATTTATCCTTGTATCAGGGCCCCAATTAGAAAGATTTTATTAACCAAGTGCAAGGGACTTGCTGAGAGAATACTGGCCTGAGGTCTTGATGGTACAGATCAAGCACAGCAAGGTATGTACAAAATAGGCCAAGGGCCAACATTCTCCCAGGACAGTTCTGAGCAAACTTGGTTAATAAGAGATTTAAATCACACCACTGAAAATGTTTGGAAAAAATGCCACAATCACAGACTGGGAAAACAAGCATACAATTCTGATTGGGAGCCAAATTAGCATATATAATTTCACATCCGATGTTAAACAAAACATAAGGGAAGGAGATTTGGAGAAAAAAAGAAGTCTGTTACATGTATGTAAAAGAATGTAAGTCCTAGAACAACCAGAAAATCCTCAAAAGTGATCATATGGGATCATTTGGGATACTTAGAGAATACTGGAGTGGTAATGGAACAATCTGATTGGTTGATTCTAGTAATTGGCCCTCTGAACTAACTTAGTCGTGCCTGAGAAAATGCTTAATTCTACACATATTTCACAAATAACTTCTTGCCCCGTAGAAGTTTAAAATAGGAAGTATAATAAGTAAACACACTATGCATGCAGACAAGTGTTCTCAGATTACAAACGTTTTGTGAAAGTCTTTAATTGTGATGTACATCTTGTATAACTTCCTAACTGCAATAATTAACCACAATATTATTGGTAGGAGATTTTCAATAATTCTCAAAAATAAGATAATGCAGAATATTATTTTTAACATCAAACTTGATATTTTTCTTAAGTCAGTTAATATCCTTACTTAACAAATAACTGTTACAGTTCAACCTTGTTACCTCAAACGCTATAATTTGGAACTCCCTACTATCGTGATCTCTAATCTATTTCCCTTGGATAAGCATTTTGAGGCAGTCTTAAACCCCTGCCTTCTTTAATTACTTATTGGGTTCTGTTGAGGCTGAGTTCAAGATAGCAGGTTCAACTTTAAACAAATAATAAAACATTTTGATGAATGAAGAAAAATATATTACACAAGAGGGTGTATGTTGTTATGGACTGAAATTTTTCAAAAAAAAAAAAATAGAAGTAACAGAGTCTTAATTTGATTTGCAGCTACTGGTATTTGATGACAAAAAAACATAGGGTCATTTGTCATGTATGCCCTAGGGTCAGGGTTGGTCATTATCGTTAGAGAATATACCTGAGGGATTGGGAAGTTTTGTGGCAGCTTCAAAAGTATAGTATCTACATGTATGAGTCAAAAATATTTATAACTTAAAATGAGTCCCGAGTTAATGAGTAATATGATGAATACTACTAATAATAATTATAAAAAAATGATAAATACTAATTAATATTCTACATCATGTTACCATTACCATTATGGAGTGTTAACATAATCTGCTAACGGGCCAACCTGAGCTTTAATTAGACTCTAATGAGGAGAACTGGAGTGCTGATTGAACAGTGACTCAAATGCTCATGACTTGTGGACTCATTCAACTCATAGCAAACAAATAAACCAAAATTCAAAATATAATAACAGTTGTACTGATAATTATTGACAATATCTTTTTACAATGTAATTTTCAGTAGGCTTGCTTTAATACTTCACAAAAATTTTGATGTAAAAATAATTCTAAAAATCTATCTTAAATATTAATAATCCAAAAGCTTTCAATACACAAACAACTTGATTTGATTCTTCCTCGAGTTCCTTGTCGTGTATCGGGGACTTCAAGGGTTAACTGTTTCAATCACCCTTCCTTGCAACATCAATCATGCATAACCCAGTGCAAACTCCATCAATGTTCCTGCCAAATTATAACCAGGCATTTTCCTTTTCTCTCAAATAATCTCACTTAACAGGTTTATATGGCGTTTTACTGTGGTGCAGCATGTTTTCAGAAATAATAAATTTTTCATGGGAATAAAAAATAGCAAATACTCTGTTTCTATAAAGAGTATAGTAACTTTTATGAACCGCCTGATGAGTTGTATTCTGAAAAGTGAATCTACAACGTCTTCTAATACTATTTATTCTGTAAGTCGAGGTAATTCTGGAAAAAGTGAATTGAAATTATTTACAAACAAAAGTTTTCATTTTTTCCAAGTAAATTTTGTCCCTGAATGTGAGGGTCAGGAGACCTTTTTACATTATTTGTTGTAAGTCCTTTACCTATTCTTGCTTGCCCTATCCTTAATATTACAAAAAATTATTGGGCACTGATAAACCAGTGTCTGAGATAAGATGTACATGTTCATTATATATTAGAATCAGTATCTTGAAATAAAGTAACCAGTTGATACATTTATGAACATGAGCTTAAAACATTGCCCTTTCTTTTAATCCTGACCAAACCCTTACTGGTTTCCAACATGTATGACCAGTAAATCTATGTTTTCTGTTGTACTGGACCAGGGGAAACGAAAACAACTAAAATTCTGGTTGCAATACTACCACTGATGCAAGGAAGTGAAAATAATGTTTTTAAAATCACTACTGTAATAATGAGAATTTCTGCACATGACAGTTCCAATGTGCAGCTTAACTAGATGGGGGATCAAGGATACCCCCAGATACATGTAGTCGTATGTGTAAGTGACTGGAATGTATATTTCCCAAGAAAGGTAATTTTCTCCAAAGTGAAAACTTCAGTTCTATTCAGCAATTCAAACCTTTCCACATTTCCAACCACAAGCATTCCTTGAATGGATCCACCAATGGCTCTATAACCCTATTGTTTTATTCTCACATTTTCAGTATAACAATATTGCCAGAAAACAAGCTGTTGCCAAGCTCCTGTAGCAAATGATCACTAGTTCTGCATAACGTGAGTTAAGGTGGCATTTAGGCACATGTACTGTGTGATGTGCAGTGTATATCAAGTTGTCACATCAGTGTTGCAAATAAGCTTGTGGTCTTGCAAGCAGTTAGGAATTGGAAGCAGTGGTCCAATAAAAAGAAATGAATTGCTTTTATAATATTCATTTCTGCAATTCTTCACAATTCAAGTACAACACTTTTAACAATTTGATCAACTCTGAGCTAATGAAAGTAAATAAACCACTGTAGCAAATTTGGAAACGTACCATTTTGAACTTTAGCAAAGGCAAAGGCAACAGGCAATTTGCTGGGGAAAGGAGAGGAAAGGGGCTCTACTTCCTCAGGGTTCATACAGGTCCTGGAAAACCTGGAAAGTCCTGGAATTTTACTGTGGCATTTTCCAGGACTGGAAAGTCCTGGAAAAGGGCTACTGGTCCTGGAAAGTGCTGGAAATCTGTTAAACTCAAGTAAAAAAAATATGAAATGTATGGCACACAGCAAGGAGAATTAAAATTGAGATCTTGGGAGTGAAAGGGCTAATGTAAATTTTAGAGTCCTGGAAAAATCAATCTGAGTCCTGGAAAAGTCCAGGAAAAGTCCTGGAAAAGTCCTGGAAATTTGTTTCTGAAAAAGGGTACGAACCCTGTTCCTTTTTTCCTTTCCTTCTTTCTTTCCGATTGAAGTGCTGTGAGCAGGCTGGGGCAAAGAGTTTTTGTTCTTATCAAGCAAAAACAGTGGCTTTCCAAAACACCTTAAAACAACCGCTTTCCAAATTCAATATGACAGTTTAACAAGTTACTCTCATCAACTCACTGCTGATCATTAACTAAGTATTCAACATTTTGTTATGCAACATTCTGAACCATGTACCATGCATACTTAAAAGCTAACCTCAGTTCTCTTAGAAGTCTAAAGTACTTCTTTCATTAATGCACGTAACATGGATATCCAACATCCAGACAAAATACCAAGACGTCAAGAAACAGTAGCTCTTACAGTAGTGCACACACAATCTAATGCACCAGAAAAACTGTTCACAACCTTTCCAATTCTTTCCATATCAACCGCATTGGGGTTTGGTCCCACAGTTTCAACCACACCCTGCATGTCACTGTATTTATTCTCAAGATCTGTTACAGTCCGACGCACTCTAAACCGTGCCTGCGGTCCTAGTGAGTCTGTTAAGCTTGAGGATGTCTCTAGCACTTCAAGGGAGATTCTCTTAAGTTCATCAATTACCTCAAGGAGATTGTTCTGTGAATCATCCATTACTCGAGCATCAGTTAGAGAAAGAATTTCCATGACCTTAGTTTGTCCCTGATGAGAGAGCTGCAATATTTCATTCACCTGGGGTGGAAGATTAGGGTCAGGTTCTGAACTAGGTGGGGCAATTTTAGGTTTCCTGGCAATGTTTGGTTTAACTGGAGGTTTTGGTTTAGTGTGAGTTGGTCTAGGAGCAGGTGAAGTTGGTTTTGTTCCCGATGTATTGACCTGCTGGTGGCTTGAAGTCACAGAATTGCTGCTGCCAGGTTTCTTACCACCTGGAATTGAGGGAGGAGGATGAGCTGGTCTTGCCTTGACAGGGGGCTGCCTGGCATTGTTAGATTCCTTTCCAGCTGGTGACAGAGGTCCCTGCTCCTGATCAACACTGGTCAACTGCTGCTCTGCTCTCTGCCTGGTACGTGGCACTGGGCGAGGTTTGGCAGATGGGCCCTGGCCATCAGAAGACGATTCAGAGAAATTTACATCACCAGAAGACAAGCTTGAATTTGATGTTGACTTCCCAGTGTCTTTTAATGGAGCTGGTGGTGGGGGTGGTGGAGGTCTGTTTCGAGGCCGTGGCACAGGACTTCTTGGTTTTTCTGGATTTGCACTATCCGAAGACTTTGTTTGTGCAGAACTCGGTCTTCCTACAGCTTTAACTGGTTTGGATTTCTTTGACAATGGGGTATCCTGTTGTTCCTGTTCTTTGGGTGCCTCATCCTGAAAAGGTAGTCCAGATTGTTGTTTATTAGGAGAAGGACGGGGTTGTGGTGGATTTGATAAAGACTTTTGCAAAATCTGACGGGGTGGTGCTGGAAGTGGTTTGTTTTGACTCTGTGGGGCTGAGTTTTTTCGTGGAGCTTGAGAAGGTATCATTGGAAAATGCTTTGTTCCATTTTCTTGCCTTGTAGGTGACAGAGGACGTTGTGACTGTTCTGGTTTCTGTTGTTGATGACAGTTTGAAGGCAGAGGTGCTGGTGGTCGCTTGTGGAGGTTCTCTGGAGTAAATCTAGGAGGTACATCCTTTACATCCTGTTTGTTACTTGGAACATTTCCTTTGTCAGATACCTTTTTGAAAGTTCCAGACTTTTTACCCAGTTCTTCCACCAAATTAGGCATAACATTTGGCACTAAAGGATGTGAGGGTTGTTTTTCAGCTTCTTCATCCAAGCTTTGTTCCTTCGGTGTTGGCCTTGCTGGGGGTTCTGGAGGAGGCCCTGATGGATTAAGTGAGTTGGCAAGTTTTTTCGAAGTGGAGGTTTTTGACTTTGTTTTATGACAATCATCTGTCTTCTTTTTTTCTTCAACTGACAAAGAATTGTTCGTTTCTCCTTTCTTCTTGCTTTTCTTTCCTTTGTCCTTTTTGGTTTTTTGCTTTTCCAGAGCTTTTTCCACTTCTGAGAAATGAATGACATCATAAACCAAACTCAATACTAATGATAAATTGCTAAACTTCTCTATTATACTGTTCTAAAAATATCCACACTCTCCCTCAGAGGTAGTCACTGAAAATTCCAAGGGGGTGGGCAACCCTGTCAAACATCTCAGAAGCTGGCAATTTTGCCTCCTACAGTAAATTTGCCACCAGTTTCACACTGGGATTCAATATTCCTGACTATGACAGGGCTTGGGTGGGAGTCTCTGATGCCAAAATTTCTTGATGTACCAGTAAGTATGAAGCTAAACTGGTATTTCCAAAGGGGTGGAAGAGGGATTCCAAACCCATCAACCTTCCGTGGGAGTATCAATATTTTTTGGAAACGACACATTCAATGCACCATGCAACATTCAATATACACGAAGCATACAGCAAGTGAGCAAACCTCTCTATCTCTCTCCTTGACCATTCAACTGTTGCCCATGAGAGAGAAGCACAAGTTTCAATGTGGAAAATTCTGTCAGTATTAATTCCATACATTCGCATAGTAATTCTGATTGATTTGTTCCCTGGTTGTTCATTTTCACATGCAACTAACAAGTTATCAGAACAGGTACCAGCGTGGGGGGGAACTCCTCTATGAAAAGGTTGGGGTGCAAATCAAGGATTCTGGTCACACTTAGGGTGTTGTTGATGAAATGCCACCATTTTAAACTGTCAAAGTATCCTGTAGGGTGCACTCGAAGAAATAATAAAAAAACACTCTTATATTTTCCATTTTTAGTCTTGACTTCTGAAAATTTCTCAAGTCCTGTCTGCTAGTGTGGGCTCCTTTCCTGAACAGCAGCTGGTAATCAAGCCTATTCTGTTTTAAGAGGTCTCTTTTAGGGGTCAAATAAAGCTCGAGCCACGCCCAGATTGGCCTCCATTAGGGGTTTAATTCAAATTTTCCAATGAGCATCCCCGACCTTGTCATATAGGAGTCCCCCAGGGACAAGGTAGCTATATGAGCCTCTACAGTGGTGTGGCTGCATCAGCAGTATGGGTTTTGTCTGTCAAATCTCAAATGCTTCTATCAGGGAGGATTACATGTAATTGAGAGTACATCAACAGACATCAAATATTTCAGGCTACACCTAAAACCATAATGCTTGCTCCGTTCATGCATACCATTTTAGAGAAAATCACAATTGAAAATTGAAGTGTAGGATGTTGACTAAAAGTGTCTTCATTGTTAATTATCTATTTTAAGTGGACAAAGGTAAAGTAACTGCCTTTTGACCCTGACAGTTAATTTACAGTTTGAATGACACCCCTTTGTCTTTCATTTACTTTTTTGCCCCAACAGAGAGTTAACCCTGAAAATTCCAGCTTTCGAAATTCAAGCTCTGCAGCAATTAAGTCACCTTAATCAACTTTGGGGAAATAATTAATTACGACATTGATTTCACTTCCAAGCTGTCACTACACAGCAGGTTCTGTACAATTCATGAATACTTCTCTGTTCATACACTACACGTACCTTCTTCAACACTACTGGCTGAGAAGACACTATTCAACCACTTGTGGATCTCTGAAAATGTTGGTCGATCTTGTGCATCCCAGCTCCAGCCTAGAAATTATTTTTTATTGCAGTTATTTATATTGACAACTACAGGTAAAAAGTAACAATCTACCTACTACAATAGCTCATAAACCAAAAAAAGCAAACGTTCACCAAGAACGCTTTTACATATATAATATAATTTTTTAATGTACATGTCAGTGCTGTCATTACGTTTTGAGTCAACTGTAGCCTTGTTCTCCACAACTGTGGCAAACTTGTCACTTTGTGGGTGAATTCTATCAACAACAGGCAATTTCACCCGTACATGTAGCATCCTGGGAAAATCAAGCACACTCAGCTGTCACAGATGTTACGGGTTACAGCCCTTAATGACAGCCCTGTGTGTTTTATGACAACATTACAGACAGTAGATTACCTACTGTCCTTCTAAGAGATGAAATAATCAGTTCACCAGCAAACTGGCAAATCAAATAATTGGAATGGTCCTTTAAACAAGTACTATGAAACCCAAAATTTGGAACACTGACCACTGCACCATAGTCTTTTGGGGGGGGGGACACTAAAAAGCATAAAGCTTGATTTTAGGAGCATCAACCCCTACCAGTGACCACATAAAACATTTTTGTACTCAACTGTGATGGAAATTAACTCACATTTCTTCATCATGTCATAAACCTCTTGAGGGCAGCCTTCTGGGCATGGCATTCTGTAGCCTGACTCCAACATTTCATAAACTTGCGACAGATCAATTCCTGGATAAGGGGACATTCCATATGTCGCAAGCTCCCACAAGAGTATTCCAAATGCTGTTGAACAAAAAAGCAAGGTCATTACAAAGTGTTTATCAACTTTTTCAATCTTTGTGGCGTACAATTATTATTTCACTAATGCATGGCATGATCTTACTAAACATCTGTGACAATACAAGAGCTTAAAACTAGTAGTAATCAGAGATTATGAGAGTGCGTTCAATGCTCTCACTTTAATATATAATTATATATCGTAAATATATGATTTCACTAGCTGATTTTCAACCTTTGTCTATTGCTAAAATCAACATTTTTCAGCAGCAACTGAGGTTTTACAGTCAGATATGCATAGCGTCAAAGTCCATGCTAGTGAAGAGGTCACGATTTGTTGATATGTTGCGTGATGCTGCCAGTTTCTGTAGTCTCTCAAGTTTCATAGAATATTTAAATTACGTACATTAATCTAAGCTAACATTTGCAGTCACGTGCTCATTTCGTGACTAATTCGATTATTTCTCCTGATGAATAAAGTAGTCTTATGGATCTTGCCTTCAGAGTACTTTTCCACCGATTCCAAACAATAAAATTTCGACTGGATAAAGACTGAGCTATCTGTCGCGACTGGAACTAATCAACAAATGCAATCAAAATGTAGCTGTTCCCATGGTTATCATCCCAGAGCCAAGTCGTGTTAATAAACAAGAACAATTCCCTCAGATTGCGATAAATGCTGCCGTTGAAGCGTTTAAATTTGCCAAAATCTAACGCTGAGAGCACATAATAGCGAGGCGTACAGCGACTGAATGGAAAGAAGTTAAAAAAGATCCATCGGAAAGATGAGCTCACATGGCCTGCTCACATACTCACATGTTCGCCACATGTCTTATCACATGTCTTAGCATTAAACGGTACCAGTTTACTGGCCGTGACATGCCCCTGCAAAAATCAAGCGGGGTGGCCATTTTGGTGTCCTTACAGGAATGTGTTTTTTTTCAGCCTAGAACCGTGCACAGGGAGACCAATTCTGAAAAGCCACAGGTCAAATTAGGTTTGCGTTCCACTTCGTCGAACGCAATGAAATTTGTGAGAGGAGATATCAATATTGCTGTTTCCAACAAGTGCCTCAAAGTTTCTGATAAGAAGATGCCAATTTGTGGCAAAAAGAAAAGGCACAGTGCCAAACTAAGAACACAGACTATAAGAGTTAGAGACATCATAGACAAGCAATGTCATTGTTAGAACACCTGTTACAAAGAAACCACACATACACCACTAATCACAATTTGTTACAAGTTCTCAAAAATGAAAGTTTTATCTTAAAAATTATTTGTATGGGTATAACATACCCCACACATCAGACTTGATTGAAAATGTGTTGTAGGCCAGGGCTTCAGGTGCAGTCCACTTGATTGGAAACTTTGCACCTTCATGGGCAGTGTAGATGTCATATGTCACAAGTCTTGACAAACCAAAGTCTGCAACCTTTACAAGGTTGTTCTCCCCTACAAGACAGTTCCTGGCAGCAAGATCCCTTTTGGAAAAAGAATAGTCACATTGTGTTCATCAAGCAAACTCATTACTATTTGCAGTGTCAGTTACATTTAGGTGTGAGGCACACCTGGGGGAGACTCCCAATATAAAAAGGACATGGGTGCTTGTCTGAAATTTTGAACAGAACCCCTAAAGGCACCAAGATCCTGTTTTGTTTTCACCCCTAAGAGATACCGACAACAACACATTAACTGATGCTCTCCTGTCATATATTTTGTTTTGGCTCAATACCCTAAAAGAGAGGCTGAACACCCAAGGAGGTACAAAAACCACTTTTTCAACCCCTAAAAGTACAACAAGCAAGCCCATCCTTTTTAAATAGGATTACCTCCCAGCAGGAGGCACATCCCTTAGCTTGAGCTCAGTCCCTTATCCATATCTACAATTTGATCAAATCATTCTATACCAGCACAGGGTTGTGAAAACTAGCTGACTGACTTCATGAACTTGGCCAGTTACTTTGTTGGAATATTCTTCTGATTTTTTTCCACAATGTGGCAACATTATTCACCTACTCAATCAAATAAAGCTGCCTTCTCCACAACTTTGAAACAACCCTGCACTGGCAGATTTATCTATGGAAGGAGACTAGTACTCTTTTATGTCAGATGAATGTACATAGTAACCAAACGGTCAAAATCTTTGGCCCTTCCTCACCATTTTAAGGAAGGTCAGGTCAATCTTTACTCAACCCCATTCCCCATCAACCCCCTTCTGAACACATCTGGATCATTACCTTCTTCATACAAAGAAGCACTACCCAGATGTGGGTAGTGCTTCCTGTCTGTTGCTATCACAATCAGCTACAGTGTATTTAATATACATGTACATGTAGTGTGAGATAAGATCTAACCTGTGAATAAAGTTCATTGATTCTAAATAAGACATGGCTTCTGCCACTTGTGTTGCCATGTACATCAAGGTGATCGCATTCAAACCCTTGCTGGCAGAACTCCGTAAATAGTCCAACAGGTTACCATGAGGCATGAATTCTGTGATGATGTAGAATGGCGGCTCCCTTGTGCAGACACCTAAGAGCTGCACCAGTCGTGGATGCTTGATTTCCTTCATGACTGAAGCTTCTTTTAAGAATTCATCTACCTCCATTGTTTCTTCCTAGAATACATTATCACATTCAATACAAAATAGTTATTAATGCTTAGACTCTGCAAATTGTAACTAACACAATACATCAAAAAGATGTTCCTCAAGTTCAAATCATTACTTGTCATTAGTGATTCGTATTTAAAAAATAATAAAATGGTTTTGCAGGAAATTTAAGACACAAGATAGCTTTGACATAGTGTGGACATAACAGATGTCAGTCTCTTTTAAGGTTACAAACTACTGGCATGGTATATGTAAAGTTCAACAGCAGTTCACCACCTTGCTATTGTTTCAGTCATTTCAGAGCAAAATATTCTGTAATAACATGAGAAAGCAAATCTCATTCATACATTTGTTTCTTTCTTAGTTCATTGATTCATCCCTCTGTCCAACTGCCTTTTTTCTCCATTAGCTAATTTAAATGTTCTGATTCTTAAGTTTTGTTCTCTCATTTATTTGCCAGTTCAGTCATTCTAAACAGTCATTGGTCAGTTTAAAGTCAAGGTGAAGTTTAGTGCTCTGGTGCATGTGATCAGAATAGTAAATGCATTTATGCTGTGTATAGAGTGGTTTTCAGTTGAGCATCAAAAGTAATCAGGCAATTACTTTGGTTTTACTACCGTTTGAGATTGGCTGAGTAGTCTAATAATTGGTAATAACTGGTTTGGTTTTGGTCTTACGACACTCAATTGAAAACTGCTTGATATCCTATTTGTGGGTAATTATCAGTGTCCTACACGTATGTGCATAGTGACATCAGATAAGAAAGTTCATTTGTATCAAGGGCATGGTTGTTCAAAGCCAATAAACACTAATCCTGCATTAAGTTATTTTGATATTTTAAAGTATTCTTGGTTCGGCATTGTCCAAAGATGATAATAAAAAATGGAGAAACTGAGTAAGTATGAGAACTTCTTCAACTGAATGTTAAGTCAAAGCTACTCCTGGAGCTTAATTCTGCTTTGAAGAAACAAGTACAAGAGATCAACATGAATATATTAACCGGTAGAAGAGAGGCATGTAATTGGTAAATTCTAATCCATAGCACAGAGTTTACCCACCCTTAAAGTCTTCACAGCCACTTGCCTATCATACTTCTTCCACACTCCCTCATAAACTTCCCCATACTGACCCCCACCCAGCCGATGCTTCATAGCAATTTCTGTTCTTGGTATCTCCCATTCATCTGGCTCAGGAGAAAAGCTGTACACTGCTGGTTTGTCAGTCTTTGCTGCTGGATAATGAAGAGTTGTTACGAGTCCATCCGCGTGCACGGAATGATGGTGAATAAGTTCAGCAATTGTGCTAAATCTGTTTTCATTGGAGACATACATTTTGCCATCAGGCGCATTGCTAACTCTGTAATGATACACCCGTGAATCAAACCGTAGTGAGATGGATAACTGTCCTGGACTACTTTCGCTTTCACGAACAAGAAAACTACCATTAATTCCACTGCTTAGCAGGTATTCTGCAACATTACGTGCTATAGTTCCATGATACCAAGAATGTTTTTCCAGGCTGTTGACTGGTTTGACATAGCTACTTGGCAACCACCCAATGTTTCCATTTCTTGCCTGACCCTCACACCACTCTTCAGTGTCATTGTAGCGCAAAATAGCTACCTCTTCCCCGGTTCGAATGCTCAACTGATTATTGCCAGCAGCTTGAAAGTCATGAATTGCCACAAAAATTGATTTATCTTGGTTGTCTGCATCATTTAGAAGATCATCTTTGGAGTTCCATTCCCCAGGAAGCTGGTCTAATGGCGTTTCTGGCAAAGGCCGCCTTGAAAGATCTTGGATAATAAAACAGTAAGAATGATCAGATTGATTTTCCCAATGTATGTGTTTACTTGCCATTGTTACTTATCCATGAAAAAAAAGCATCATTTTTCAAAGATGCATTACTTTATCTTAGCCCAATTTATAGACAGTTGCAGGATATAAATTTCTGCATAAGCCTGGATAAAATTTAACTTGCTTGTAAATATACAATGCCATCATTCTTGAATTGGAAGAATGCACACAACCTGTCCATGTGTATCACATATACAAGGAAAAAGGGAAATATGACACTCGTAACCATCCAGCTCATTCAGCATACTTAACATACAAGTGTTTTAAGTTTAATAGACAGAACCACTCATAATATGCTTATTCCAATAAGATTTCAAAATGTGTAGAGCAAATACTGTTATTTTACACAGTGGAAAACGACTCTGGCTACAGAGCTGTCCACTTATGTCCATATCTTAGGTATATAAATAACAATATGTTGATGTTTGATGTTACATAGACAGCAGTGGTGATAACCGTGATATTGAATTCAATGAACAGAAAGAGGGTATTACAACTGGCCTGAAGAATATTGCTTTCATTCCGGAAAATACAAAACAAAGATCACTATTTATACAACAATTACCACTGGCTAAAGGTGTAACTTTTGACTTAGCTTCCTGCTTGGTATGTATTTATCTGCTGATTAATTTTCAATCCTTCAATGTGGTGTTTTCACAACATGAAGCATGCATGACCACTCAATAAGGTCAGAAATTAGAGATGCAAATTACCCATATAATCGATCGAGATCAGGGAAATGTTTTTCTTGAATTAATGTCGCTTCGAGTTAAAGATTTGTGCGGATAAAGTTTTCGAGAAATTACGGCCGACGCAAGCTGCTTGGTTAACCATTGAAATTGTAATGTACATCTACTTGCCAAATTATGATCCCGTTGTAGATTTCTCAAATGCATTCCACTTTGAAAATTTCTTTTTCTGCCAATCGATCTCAATTTTCATAGGAGATTATTAAGCTTTCTTTGTGAGCAATTCAACAACCCGATCCGTCTTAACCTAACTGGTATGCAACCAGGAAATATTTGACCAAATTCCACTACAAACTACATGTACTTCAACAGCTCCAACACATAACACGTTAATGTGTGGTTTAACAGATATCAACAACATCCGATTTAGAAATGAAAAACAGTATTATGGCCGCTATTTCTCGTACCTGGTGCAGTATGAAATTCAGGTTTTTCAGCGTCTTTATTCCTTAGAGATGACTTAATCCCTTTTCCAGACTTCGCAAGAGCTTTAACTTGCTGTTGACCCATAGCTGGGCTTACAACAGAGCTGCCTTCGGCTCAAATGGTGTAACCACATATGCCATTTTCTAATCCGAATAGTCAACTCGAACCGATCACATAGCTAGATCAGAACTCATCCAAGACCAAGCCATTGGTTTCAATCTAATGCTAAGCTCAAGGCTTGCATAAAGAACGGAAACAAACGGGCTAAAACGCTAAAGCTAAACACCTTCCTCGTTTCTCATGCGACCCGGAAACAAGACCCGCTCCCAGTCCTCTCTAGCGGAAATCGATTTCTTGACGTGCGCAATACGCACAACGTTGTTCTTTTAGCGCTAAATTCAAGATGGCGTCTGCAACAAGGTCTGCGGCAAGGTAAGTTTATAACTTGTTTACATTACAGTAACACAGTCTTTTCGTTCGTCGGATTATGAAGGAATCTACCAACCTTCGTGAAACAAGCACAGGATAATGGAGCCTTTTCCTTCACTCTTGTACTTTATACAGTATATAAAATTGTGTTGGGGAACCAGCATTAAACAGTCATGTAAGCTTATATTATAAGGAATGTTAACCAGTCACCAGCCCAGGAAGGAGGGAGCCCATAAGCAAGCTATCTTAGGGTTAAAATAATAATAATTTAATAATAGGGTTGGTGCTTGGAGGGAAAAAGAACTTGCAAAGACGGCCAGCAACGTTTGCCACCCCTTATCCCACAATCGAGTGACGTAGATAGGATGAGAGTGAATGTAGGAGTGAGTAAGTAAAGTAAGTAAAAGCTTTATTAATGTGTCAATGTATTTAGTTTTCACAGCTAATTGGGGACACAACAAAAAAAAATTAAAATTATTTACAAATAAGGAATATATTAAATAATAAAAATGTATATACAATTAAAATATGCAGCATGTTATATATATTGTACAATAAAACAGTGGGTATATAAGAGGTAGTCTCTAAGAATTGCAAAGGTTACAGCAGCTATTGTTGTTGTTTAAGAGTGACATTATGTCCTTTTACCTAATGTTCTTTTTAAAAGATTCAATATTTGAGGAGCCTTTCAATTTATTATCTAGTTTTGACCATATATGAGGTCCTTGAAATGAAATGAATGAAAAGAACGACTGCATCCATGAAACCAGAGAAATGTAATAACATAACTACACTAACATAAATTACATAAATTACAAAAGAAATATTAAACACAATTTAAGTTGGTGAAACAAAATAAATTTGAAAGTAACTGAATTGAATCGCATGAAGTTGAGAGACTTTTTTATAACTTTGTTGATTTTTATTCAACTTTTTTTAATAATCTCACGACAGTCATAGAATTGTAGTGTCTTTTTCAAAGTTTTTTTTTTGCATTGCTTTTCACCGCATGATCAGTGAGGAAATTTGAAGATTCAAGTGAGTTTTTGGTTTGGGTTCAAAATGTTTGCATAAGGAGTTGCCTCCCTTGTCCATTAATACATGTAAGCTTACATGTATGTAAAAGCCAAATAAAGTTTTGCAAAGAGCAAATGCCTAGCAACAAATTTAGTGCTTTTGCTGGACATGTGGATAACGGTTTCCCCGTAAGTTCACATAAGAGTTGTTAACAGGAGACAAAGAGTCGCAGGTAAACTATTCATTCTTTTCATTCCTGTATCTACTCTCATCCTACTCTGTTGTCATCACCCTTGTACCCTGGGGTGTCTAAGAATGAATGAATGAAATGAATACCTTTATTTAAGTGTCGAACTAAAATAGCAGTAAATAACCACTAAATGGGGACATCATGTTCCAGCAGTGGGATTATTAACTTTTGGAACAGAAAATTTTGATGGTCTGCTAAATATTCTCATTTTTCATTGACTCCAACAGTGCAACAAACATGCAACAAAAATAAATCACCGAAACCAGTGCACGGTAAAGAACGCAACAGTGACCAAAGTAATAATTTCTTGAACAAACTATTCTCAACTCGACTGAAACATCTGTTCCAGTAACAAAAAGAGCTTTATACACAGCAACAAAGTAACTCTGACACTTTGTATCTGGCTGCAAAAACAATTTTGGATCAAGCAATCAGCAGGGCCCCGTGCAGACAAAACAATATTATTCTGTACAGTCTACAGACCGTTGTTAATTACTGCTAACATGTAGTGTGTACACCTAAACTCTGAAGCCAGTGGCAGAAGTAATTAACCCACTAGTTACATTAGCTGAAATCATCTTGAGTATTTAGATGTGAAAGAAGTACCATGTTTACTTAACTGTAGTTTCTTTGCACTCAGAAAAAGATCCAAAGCAGTTGAAGAGATACCAGAGGTAGGGCTAGCTATTGATTCAAACTATGGTATTTTATGTTCTTTTAAAGAGTTCTTGATCAAAAATAGCAATGACATATTTCCTCTNTAATCACAATTTGTTACAAGTTCTCAAAAATGAAAGTTTTATCTTAAAAATTATTTGTATGGGTATAACATACCCCACACATCAGACTTGATTGAAAATGTGTTGTAGGCCAGGGCTTCAGGTGCAGTCCACTTGATTGGAAACTTTGCACCTTCATGGGCAGTGTAGATGTCATATGTCACAAGTCTTGACAAACCAAAGTCTGCAACCTTTACAAGGTTGTTCTCCCCTACAAGACAGTTCCTGGCAGCAAGATCCCTTTTGGAAAAAGAATAGTCACATTGTGTTCATCAAGCAAACTCATTACTATTTGCAGTGTCAGTTACATTTAGGTGTGAGGCACACCTGGGGGAGACTCCCAATATAAAAAGGACATGGGTGCTTGTCTGAAATTTTGAACAGAACCCCTAAAGGCACCAAGATCCTGTTTTGTTTTCACCCCTAAGAGATACCGACAACAACACATTAACTGATGCTCTCCTGTCATATATTTTGTTTTGGCTCAATACCCTAAAAGAGAGGCTGAACACCCAAGGAGGTACAAAAACCACTTTTTCAACCCCTAAAAGTACAACAAGCAAGCCCATCCTTTTTAAATAGGATTACCTCCCAGCAGGAGGCACATCCCTTAGCTTGAGCTCAGTCCCTTATCCATATCTACAATTTGATCAAATCATTCTATACCAGCACAGGGTTGTGAAAACTAGCTGACTGACTTCATGAACTTGGCCAGTTACTTTGTTGGAATATTCTTCTGATTTTTTTCCACAATGTGGCAACATTATTCACCTACTCAATCAAATAAAGCTGCCTTCTCCACAACTTTGAAACAACCCTGCACTGGCAGATTTATCTATGGAAGGAGACTAGTACTCTTTTATGTCAGATGAATGTACATAGTAACCAAACGGTCAAAATCTTTGGCCCTTCCTCACCATTTTAAGGAAGGTCAGGTCAATCTTTACTCAACCCCATTCCCCATCAACCCCCTTCTGAACACATCTGGATCATTACCTTCTTCATACAAAGAAGCACTACCCAGATGTGGGTAGTGCTTCCTGTCTGTTGCTATCACAATCAGCTACAGTGTATTTAATATACATGTACATGTAGTGTGAGATAAGATCTAACCTGTGAATAAAGTTCATTGATTCTAAATAAGACATGGCTTCTGCCACTTGTGTTGCCATGTACATCAAGGTGATCGCATTCAAACCCTTGCTGGCAGAACTCCGTAAATAGTCCAACAGGTTACCATGAGGCATGAATTCTGTGATGATGTAGAATGGCGGCTCCCTTGTGCAGACACCTAAGAGCTGCACCAGTCGTGGATGCTTGATTTCCTTCATGACTGAAGCTTCTTTTAAGAATTCATCTACCTCCATTGTTTCTTCCTAGAATACATTATCACATTCAATACAAAATAGTTATTAATGCTTAGACTCTGCAAATTGTAACTAACACAATACATCAAAAAGATGTTCCTCAAGTTCAAATCATTACTTGTCATTAGTGATTCGTATTTAAAAAATAATAAAATGGTTTTGCAGGAAATTTAAGACACAAGATAGCTTTGACATAGTGTGGACATAACAGATGTCAGTCTCTTTTAAGGTTACAAACTACTGGCATGGTATATGTAAAGTTCAACAGCAGTTCACCACCTTGCTATTGTTTCAGTCATTTCAGAGCAAAATATTCTGTAATAACATGAGAAAGCAAATCTCATTCATACATTTGTTTCTTTCTTAGTTCATTGATTCATCCCTCTGTCCAACTGCCTTTTTTCTCCATTAGCTAATTTAAATGTTCTGATTCTTAAGTTTTGTTCTCTCATTTATTTGCCAGTTCAGTCATTCTAAACAGTCATTGGTCAGTTTAAAGTCAAGGTGAAGTTTAGTGCTCTGGTGCATGTGATCAGAATAGTAAATGCATTTATGCTGTGTATAGAGTGGTTTTCAGTTGAGCATCAAAAGTAATCAGGCAATTACTTTGGTTTTACTACCGTTTGAGATTGGCTGAGTAGTCTAATAATTGGTAATAACTGGTTTGGTTTTGGTCTTACGACACTCAATTGAAAACTGCTTGATATCCTATTTGTGGGTAATTATCAGTGTCCTACACGTATGTGCATAGTGACATCAGATAAGAAAGTTCATTTGTATCAAGGGCATGGTTGTTCAAAGCCAATAAACACTAATCCTGCATTAAGTTATTTTGATATTTTAAAGTATTCTTGGTTCGGCATTGTCCAAAGATGATAATAAAAAATGGAGAAACTGAGTAAGTATGAGAACTTCTTCAACTGAATGTTAAGTCAAAGCTACTCCTGGAGCTTAATTCTGCTTTGAAGAAACAAGTACAAGAGATCAACATGAATATATTAACCGGTAGAAGAGAGGCATGTAATTGGTAAATTCTAATCCATAGCACAGAGTTTACCCACCCTTAAAGTCTTCACAGCCACTTGCCTATCATACTTCTTCCACACTCCCTCATAAACTTCCCCATACTGACCCCCACCCAGCCGATGCTTCATAGCAATTTCTGTTCTTGGTATCTCCCATTCATCTGGCTCAGGAGAAAAGCTGTACACTGCTGGTTTGTCAGTCTTTGCTGCTGGATAATGAAGAGTTGTTACGAGTCCATCCGCGTGCACGGAATGATGGTGAATAAGTTCAGCAATTGTGCTAAATCTGTTTTCATTGGAGACATACATTTTGCCATCAGGCGCATTGCTAACTCTGTAATGATACACCCGTGAATCAAACCGTAGTGAGATGGATAACTGTCCTGGACTACTTTCGCTTTCACGAACAAGAAAACTACCATTAATTCCACTGCTTAGCAGGTATTCTGCAACATTACGTGCTATAGTTCCATGATACCAAGAATGTTTTTCCAGGCTGTTGACTGGTTTGACATAGCTACTTGGCAACCACCCAATGTTTCCATTTCTTGCCTGACCCTCACACCACTCTTCAGTGTCATTGTAGCGCAAAATAGCTACCTCTTCCCCGGTTCGAATGCTCAACTGATTATTGCCAGCAGCTTGAAAGTCATGAATTGCCACAAAAATTGATTTATCTTGGTTGTCTGCATCATTTAGAAGATCATCTTTGGAGTTCCATTCCCCAGGAAGCTGGTCTAATGGCGTTTCTGGCAAAGGCCGCCTTGAAAGATCTTGGATAATAAAACAGTAAGAATGATCAGATTGATTTTCCCAACGTATGTGTTTACTTGCCATTGTTACTTATCCATGAAAAAAAAGCATCATTTTTCAAAGATGCATTACTTTATCTTAGCCCAATTTATAGACAGTTGCAGGATATAAATTTCTGCATAAGCCTGGATAAAATTTAACTTGCTTGTAAATATACAATGCCATCATTCTTGAATTGGAAGAATGCACACAACCTGTCCATGTGTATCACATATACAAGGAAAAAGGGAAATATGACACTCGTAACCATCCAGCTCATTCAGCATACTTAACATACAAGTGTTTTAAGTTTAATAGACAGAACCACTCATAATATGCTTATTCCAATAAGATTTCAAAATGTGTAGAGCAAATACTGTTATTTTACACAGTGGAAAACGACTCTGGCTACAGAGCTGTCCACTTATGTCCATATCTTAGGTATATAAATAACAATATGTTGATGTTTGATGTTACATAGACAGCAGTGGTGATAACCGTGATATTGAATTCAATGAACAGAAAGAGGGTATTACAACTGGCCTGAAGAATATTGCTTTCATTCCGGAAAATACAAAACAAAGATCACTATTTATACAACAATTACCACTGGCTAAAGGTGTAACTTTTGACTTAGCTTCCTGCTTGGTATGTATTTATCTGCTGATTAATTTTCAATCCTTCAATGTGGTGTTTTCACAACATGAAGCATGCATGACCACTCAATAAGGTCAGAAATTAGAGATGCAAATTACCCATATAATCGATCGAGATCAGGGAAATGTTTTTCTTGAATTAATGTCGCTTCGAGTTAAAGATTTGTGCGGATAAAGTTTTCGAGAAATTACGGCCGACGCAAGCTGCTTGGTTAACCATTGAAATTGTAATGTACATCTACTTGCCAAATTATGATCCCGTTGTAGATTTCTCAAATGCATTCCACTTTGAAAATTTCTTTTTCTGCCAATCGATCTCAATTTTCATAGGAGATTATTAAGCTTTCTTTGTGAGCAATTCAACAACCCGATCCGTCTTAACCTAACTGGTATGCAACCAGGAAATATTTGACCAAATTCCACTACAAACTACATGTACTTCAACAGCTCCAACACATAACACGTTAATGTGTGGTTTAACAGATATCAACAACATCCGATTTAGAAATGAAAAACAGTATTATGGCCGCTATTTCTCGTACCTGGTGCAGTATGAAATTCAGGTTTTTCAGCGTCTTTATTCCTTAGAGATGACTTAATCCCTTTTCCAGACTTCGCAAGAGCTTTAACTTGCTGTTGACCCATAGCTGGGCTTACAACAGAGCTGCCTTCGGCTCAAATGGTGTAACCACATATGCCATTTTCTAATCCGAATAGTCAACTCGAACCGATCACATAGCTAGATCAGAACTCATCCAAGACCAAGCCATTGGTTTCAATCTAATGCTAAGCTCAAGGCTTGCATAAAGAACGGAAACAAACGGGCTAAAACGCTAAAGCTAAACACCTTCCTCGTTTCTCATGCGACCCGGAAACAAGACCCGCTCCCAGTCCTCTCTAGCGGAAATCGATTTCTTGACGTGCGCAATACGCACAACGTTGTTCTTTTAGCGCTAAATTCAAGATGGCGTCTGCAACAAGGTCTGCGGCAAGGTAAGTTTATAACTTGTTTACATTACAGTAACACAGTCTTTTCGTTCGTCGGATTATGAAGGAATCTACCAACCTTCGTGAAACAAGCACAGGATAATGGAGCCTTTTCCTTCACTCTTGTACTTTATACAGTATATAAAATTGTGTTGGGGAACCAGCATTAAACAGTCATGTAAGCTTATATTATAAGGAATGTTAACCAGTCACCAGCCCAGGAAGGAGGGAGCCCATAAGCAAGCTATCTTAGGGTTAAAATAATAATAATTTAATAATAGGGTTGGTGCTTGGAGGGAAAAAGAACTTGCAAAGACGGCCAGCAACGTTTGCCACCCCTTATCCCACAATCGAGTGACGTAGATAGGATGAGAGTGAATGTAGGAGTGAGTAAGTAAAGTAAGTAAAAGCTTTATTAATGTGTCAATGTATTTAGTTTTCACAGCTAATTGGGGACACAACAAAAAAAAATTAAAATTATTTACAAATAAGGAATATATTAAATAATAAAAATGTATATACAATTAAAATATGCAGCATGTTATATATATTGTACAATAAAACAGTGGGTATATAAGAGGTAGTCTCTAAGAATTGCAAAGGTTACAGCAGCTATTGTTGTTGTTTAAGAGTGACATTATGTCCTTTTACCTAATGTTCTTTTTAAAAGATTCAATATTTGAGGAGCCTTTCAATTTATTATCTAGTTTTGACCATATATGAGGTCCTTGAAATGAAATGAATGAAAAGAACGACTGCATCCATGAAACCAGAGAAATGTAATAACATAACTACACTAACATAAATTACATAAATTACAAAAGAAATATTAAACACAATTTAAGTTGGTGAAACAAAATAAATTTGAAAGTAACTGAATTGAATCGCATGAAGTTGAGAGACTTTTTTATAACTTTGTTGATTTTTATTCAACTTTTTTTAATAATCTCACGACAGTCATAGAATTGTAGTGTCTTTTTCAAAGTTTTTTTTTTGCATTGCTTTTCACCGCATGATCAGTGAGGAAATTTGAAGATTCAAGTGAGTTTTTGGTTTGGGTTCAAAATGTTTGCATAAGGAGTTGCCTCCCTTGTCCATTAATACATGTAAGCTTACATGTATGTAAAAGCCAAATAAAGTTTTGCAAAGAGCAAATGCCTAGCAACAAATTTAGTGCTTTTGCTGGACATGTGGATAACGGTTTCCCCGTAAGTTCACATAAGAGTTGTTAACAGGAGACAAAGAGTCGCAGGTAAACTATTCATTCTTTTCATTCCTGTATCTACTCTCATCCTACTCTGTTGTCATCACCCTTGTACCCTGGGGTGTCTAAGAATGAATGAATGAAATGAATACCTTTATTTAAGTGTCGAACTAAAATAGCAGTAAATAACCACTAAATGGGGACATCATGTTCCAGCAGTGGGATTATTAACTTTTGGAACAGAAAATTTTGATGGTCTGCTAAATATTCTCATTTTTCATTGACTCCAACAGTGCAACAAACATGCAACAAAAATAAATCACCGAAACCAGTGCACGGTAAAGAACGCAACAGTGACCAAAGTAATAATTTCTTGAACAAACTATTCTCAACTCGACTGAAACATCTGTTCCAGTAACAAAAAGAGCTTTATACACAGCAACAAAGTAACTCTGACACTTTGTATCTGGCTGCAAAAACAATTTTGGATCAAGCAATCAGCAGGGCCCCGTGCAGACAAAACAATATTATTCTGTACAGTCTACAGACCGTTGTTAATTACTGCTAACATGTAGTGTGTACACCTAAACTCTGAAGCCAGTGGCAGAAGTAATTAACCCACTAGTTACATTAGCTGAAATCATCTTGAGTATTTAGATGTGAAAGAAGTACCATGTTTACTTAACTGTAGTTTCTTTGCACTCAGAAAAAGATCCAAAGCAGTTGAAGAGATACCAGAGGTAGGGCTAGCTATTGATTCAAACTATGGTATTTTATGTTCTTTTAAAGAGTTCTTGATCAAAAATAGCAATGACATATTTCCTCTTTGTTGTTTTAATTTGAAGATAGGGATAAATTCAAAGTGAAGGCTTTAGTGCAAAAGGGGCGTATATCGCTTTTTGGGCTGATTTTTATTTTTTGCAGGGTCGAGCTAATTTTTGGCAGACTGACTTGTTTTGACATGAAAAGCATCGTTGCATAATTGTTTTTGTTGATTTGTGCTTTGTTTTGGAGAAATAACATATGCAAAAAAACTCAGTTTTCCAAGTGGCATCTTTTGGAGTGAATCCTTCAAAGGTGAATTTTGACACGACACAAACTTAAATGGTTACTTTTAGCGGCTTTGACAGCGCAGTTTTTTTGAATAGATGCTTTTATTTTTGAAAGAAGTGGAGAAATAGACCAGAAAAAGAAATCGACTGACCTTGTATTAAACCAGTGTCACGAAAAAACAAACTCGAATCTGGTCCGTTCAGCGCCTTATTTGCTTGTGCTAATGAAGCAACAGTTAGAGATTAGCGTAATTATTTGAATAATAAAACTTGTATCGGTTCAAACTACTAGTGGCAAATGCCACGCTTCGGTGACTGCATCGTTTTGTGAAACAAAAGGTTTCTTTTGTTTTCTGTTCAACAAAAGATCTCCAAAAGATGCCCTTGGAAAACTGAAAATGAAGCGCAAATCAACAAAAGCACATTGTGAGTTCGTAATATATCTGTAGATGGAGAAGAATACAGTCAAGTGAATATATGAAATATATATTGGAACTGTGGAGAAAGATATGTATGACTGCGATGATCAATCATGTCTTCATATTGTAATGAAACTGATATAGTGATTGCACGAGCTATGATGCGTGTGCTAAGATGTATAACGGTTGTATTTGAATGTATACTCGCAAGAGTTCTAAGACTAAGAGACGGTTATGTGGCGAGTACGGGATGCGCAATGTACTCGTAATGCAGCGTATATAAGGGACTCACGTTATGGAGTGGCCTGTGTGTGTTAGTAGACTTGCCATGTACAAGTAAGCTAAACATTGAGAGTCGAGTAATTAAACCGTTGGCTGTTGGACTCCTTGACTGGAAGTTGTTGTCGCCCGCGCGCGTTACATTTTGGTGTCAGAAGTGGGATTCGAACCATGACCAAAGTCAGCTGAAGTTCAGGTCAGATCGTTTTGTTTTGGTGTAGATAGTTGTCCTGCGAATGGCCGTTGTGTGGTGGTGTAGTAAAGCTGCACGACGAGATATTTTGACTTGTAGTGGCGTACTGGTTGCTATGAAGCACTTTATGTGGTAGTTGCCGTTGTTTTGGTCGTTA